ATCATGAAATAGATTGTGAATATTAAAAAAGAAGGTGAGGGGATGTGAAGTGTTTCAACATATGGATCTTGGAGAAATTCAAGAGCTAAATAGACACCACATCAGAGGAATTAACAGAAGACAACTTGACAGAGATGAGTGCTGCCAACTCAGTGCCAAACAATAAGGAAAAAGTCATAGAAGAAGCATTACCAGAAAACAAACTGACATTAAACCATCTAAGTTCCAATTCTTTGAGACTTATTTTGATTTTCTTCATGACATGGACTCTTCTGTGATACGGGCACTAAAATGAAAGCAACTGGTGGAAGAAGACTTGGTACCATATAGAGTATTTTTAGAAAAATGAAAAAGCAAAAAAGTCAGACAGAAATTATGATGTATTTCTGTGAAGTTACACCAAGTGTGCCTGCCTCTCCTGCCTCCCCTTCTACCTCCTCCACTCTTTAACTTCTGCCGCCTCTGAGACAGCAAGACCAACCCCCTCAGAACTGGAAAAAGGCAAGGATGCCCACTTCCACCACTACTATTCAACATAGTCCTGGAAGTCCTAGCCACAGTAATCAGGCAAGAGAAAGGAATAAAAGGTATCCAAAATGGAAAAGAAGAAATCAAATTATCTCTGTATGCCAATAATAGGATCTTATATTTGGAAAATCCCCAGGACTCCTGAACTAGATAAACGAGTTTGTTAAAGTCTCTGAATACAAAATCGACATGCACAAATCAGTAGCATTGTTATGTAACAATAACAACCAAGCTGAAAATCAACTCAAGAACTCAATGCCATTTACAATAACTGCCAAAAAATTAAAATACTTAGGAATATATTTAACAAAGGAGAGGAAAGACCTCTACAAGGAGAGCTATAAAACACTGATGAAAGAAATCATAGATGACACCAAAAAAAAAAAAAAAAGGAAAAACAACCCATGCTCATGGATTGGAAAAATCAACATTGTTAAAATGACCATATTACCCAAAGTAGTTGACAGATTCAATGCAATCCTTATAAAACCACCAATATCATTTTTCACAGAATTAGAAAAAAAATCCTAAAATTCATATGAAACCAAAAAACAGCCAGAATAATTAAAGCAATCCTAAGCACAAAGAAGAAATCTGGAGGCATCACATTATTACCTGACTTCAAATTATATTACAAGGCTATAGTAACCAAAACAGCATGGTACTGGTACAAGAGCAGATACATGAACCAATGGAACAGAACACAGAATTCAGAAATAAACACAAATGTCTACATCCAACTGATCCTTGATAAAGCACATCAAAAGACACTGGGGAAAAGACACCCTATTCAACAAATCGTGCTGGGAAAATTGAATAGTGACATGCAGAAAAATGAAACTTGATCTCTATTTCTCATCATATATAAAAATTAACTCAAGATGGATTAAAGACTTAAATAATAGTCCAGAAACCATACAAATAATAGAATAAACCTTAGGAAAAACTCTTCTGGATGTTGGCCTAGGCAAAGAATTTATGGCTAAGACCCTAAAAGCAATTGCAACAAAAACAAATAAGTTGGACTTAAACTAAAAAGCTTCTGCACAGAAATAGAAATAATCAGCAGAGTAAACATGCAACCTTCAGAATAGGAGAAGATATTTGCAAACTATACATCTGACAAAGGACTGATATCCATAATCTACAAAGAACTCAAATCAGGAAGGAAAAAAAGTGAATAACCCCATTAAAAAGTGGGCAAATTACCAATAACAACAACTGGGGAAAGAAGATCATATTTAGCAAATGGTGCTGGAAAAACTAACTGACCACATGCAGAAGAATGAAACAGAACACCTACCTATCGCCATATACAAAAATCAACTTGAAATGGATCAAAGCCCTAAATGTAAAACCTCAAACTATAAGAATCATTGAAAAAAATAGGAATCACTCTAATGCACATTGGAGTAGGCAACCAATTCTTGATCAAATCCCCAAAAACAAATGCCATAAAGTACAATATAGACAAGTGGAAACTCACCAAACTGAAAAGCTTTTGCACAGCAAAAGAAACCATCAAGAGAGTGGGGAGACAACCCACAGAATGAGGAAACCATATATACTAATTATGCATTGGACAAAGACCTAGCATCCAGGATCTACAAGGAACTCAAGTGAACTGGGGAAAAAATCCTATCAAAAAGTGGGAAAAGGACATGAATAGACAATTCTCAAAAGAAGATATATGAGCAGCAAATAGATGCATGAAAAAATGCTTGGCCTCACTAATCCTCAGAGAAATGTAGGTCAAAACCACAAAGAGATATTGTGCTATTGTAATTAATGTTATTAATAATAGCCATGAAAAGTGCTCAACCTCACTAACCATCAGAGAAATGCAAGTCGAAACCATAGTGAGACATCATCTAACTCCAGTAAGGATGGCCCTCATCAATAAATCAAAAACAACAGATGCTGGTGAGGGTGTGGAGAAAAGGGAATGCTTCTACACTGTTGGTGGGAGTGCAGGCTAGTTCAACCGCCATGGAAAGCATTGTGGCGATTCCTAAAAGAACTAAAAATTGGCTTTTCATATGATCCAGTGATTCCTCTCCTGGGAATATACCTGGAGGAACATAAACCATGTACAAAAAGACACCTGCACATGTATGTTTATAGCTGCACTGTTCACAATACCAAAACATGGAACCAACCCCACTGCCTATCAAAAGTGGACTGGATTTTAAAAATGTGATACATATACACAATGGAGTATTATCCAGCCATAAAGAAGAACAAAATCATGGAATTCACAACAAATTGGGTGGAGTTGGAGAACATAATACTTAGTGATCTTTCACAGAAACAAAGAACTGAATACTGAATGTTCTCACTCATAAGTGAGACCTGAACATTAATCACAATAGCACAAGGGAGGGACTGGTGGTCACTGGACACTGCCAGGGGAGGAAGGGAGGGGACACACAGCATCACAAAGGGTACGAGGTCCTAAATCAGGGGAAGTGAGGGCCAGTTGGAGGTCCAAACTTCATCTTCACGAATCCTGTTTGTGTAACTAATCCTGACTTGTACCCGACATATCTATCATTTAAAAAAAGAAAAAAAATTGGGCAAATGACAAAAACAGATATCTCTCAAAAGAAGATATACAAATGAAAAACAAACATTTTTAAAAATTTCAACATCACTAATCATCAGGGAAATGCAAATTAAAACCCCAAGGAGATACCACCTTACACAAGTCAGAATGGCTATTATTTAAAAATGAAAAAAACCAAAATGATAGATGTTGGCATGGATGGAGTGAAAAGGGAATGTTTATACATTGTTGTTGGGAATGTAAATTAGTACATCTTCTATGGAAATTGGTATGAAGATTTCTCAAAGAACTAAAAGTAGATCTACCATTCAATCTAGCCATTGCACTATTTTGTATCTACCCAGAGGAACAGAGTCATTATATTAAAAAGACACCTACACTCTTATGTTTATCACGGCACAATTCACATTTGTAAAGATGTGGAGTGGAATTAACCTAAATGCTCATCAACTGACCAGTAAATAATGAAAATGTGGCATATGTGTGTGTGTATAGATACATATAGTGGAGTACAACTCAGCCATAAAAAATAATGAAATAATGTCTTTTGCCGTAAGTTGTAAGGAGATGGAGACCATCATCCTAAGTGAAGTAACACAGGAATGGAAATCCAAATACATGTTCTCACTTATAAGTGGGAGCTAACCAAGGGTCTGCAAAGGCATACAGAATGGCAGAATGGACACTGGAGACTCAGAAGGTGGTAGAAATGGGGAGAAGGATGAACAATCACTTATCGATTGCACTGGTGGGAGTGGCAGGTAAACTTAAAGCCCAGAATTCTTTGCTACTATACAATGTATCCTTGTAACCAAAAGCCCTTAGTATCCCCTAAAGCCTTTGAAAAAAATAATAAGATGTTTAACTTTGGTTTGAAAAATAAAATATGAGTGGACTGTTCACAGGAAAAGAATCTGAGTCACCATAAATATTAGAAAATCCTGAATATAAAATACCTGTGAAACAGGAAGAATTGAACTTTTCATATCCACTGGGCCCTTAGTGACACAAATAAAATCACTATCATCTGCAAACCCATTTAGGGATGTATAAACAAAAAAAAACTCTGCTGAGATATACTCAGCAAATTGCCCCAGCTCTGATGCTAGTAACTATTCTTAGCTTGACATATTATAACATTAATCACACTTTACATTATGCATGGATAGTGTCTTTCTCTCACTTCAAAACCGACTCAGATGTAGGTAGATTTTCTTTTTCCAAATGAAGAGTCAATTATCCTAACAAATAATTCTTTTACTTTTCAACTAGAAGAAATACTTGTGTTTAAGATAACTATTTAAGTTTTTTAATTGGCCTCTAATAAGTGCTATATACTGCTCATTTTCATTATCCCAATTAACATTATGAAGAGAGAGTAAACAAAATAATACTTGTCAGGCTTGTTTTGTGTATAGTGAAGAGAATTTTCTATAAATGTTAGTAACTGATCAAAAATAAGACTCCATATTAAAATCGTTTCTGGCCAGGCACGGAGGCTCATGCCTGTAATCCCAGAACTTTGGGAGACTGAGGAGAAAGGATAACTCTGAGCCCAGGAATTTGAGACCAACCTTGGCAACATAGGAAGAAACTGTCTCTACGAAAAATAAAATATTAGCCAAGAATGGTGGCATGCACTGGTAGCACCAGCTAGCACCAGCTACTCGGGAGGCTGAGGCCAATCACCTGACCCCAGGAGGACAAGGCTCTGGTGAGCCATAACTGTGTCACTGCACTCCAGCCTGGGTGACAGAATGAGACCTTGCCTAAAACAAACAAACAAACAAAAAAATTTCTATAGACCCAGGTTTATCCCACCCATTTGATTCTTAATTTAGACAAATTAGGAAAATAAATTATTTTCTAAAACCCATATAATTGACAACCAGATTTGTCACCACTGTCATATTTTCTTTCATTTTTTATTGAAGAAATATTACAGATAAATATAACAACTCCCACCAAACCTTTCCCACATCCCAAAAGGCAACCAATATCATACATGGATCCATGACCAATACACAGTACTGTTCTTTGCATAATCTTACTAAATTATACGTGCATTTTGCTTTTTCTCTCAATACTATATATTGTAATCTATCCATGTAACTATATGTAAATTTTGTACCTTCTCTCTAAATGGTATATAGCACTCTATCATAGAAATAATCTTTTAAAAATCTATCCCTCTGTTGATAAAAATTTGTTATAACCAATTTAGGGCAAGACAAACCATGACATATGAGATATATATATATCTTTGCACATGTATATGGGCGCCTTTGAGGCCAATATACCAAAACAGAATTGACTGTTCCACATTTATGTGTTTTTAAGGAAATCCTGTGACTCTAAAATAATAAGTATATTCTATTTTATTTTCATCATAGTTTTAGAATTTTGCTTTTTATATTCTGGACTTGTCTATTTGAATTTTATTTTTGTATATGATGTAAGGTAGAAAGCTAACATTTTTTTCTCAAATCTTCCATTTCTTGAATAAGCCATTCATTCCCCCAATAATTTCAATATCACTATCATACACAAAATTCCCATATCTTCTTGTATATTTGTGAAAATCCTCAATATATTTCCACAGACTAATTTATTCACTGAATAACACAGTTGGCATGGCAAAAACTTGAATAAGTATGTTTTATATCTAGTAGAGTGTATCTTCTCTATTTGGTTTGCTCTGCCAAATTTGTTATAGCTATTTGTGGTCCTTTAATTTTCCATATACAATTTTTAATCACTTTGTGAAGCTTATTAAAAGACAACTGATGTAAACTTTGAGTAGCCATATTTATAGTACTTTGGAATAAAACATTTATTTTTACAATGTCAAGTTGTTTCAGTCATAATGTCACTTTTCGGGGGTTCTTTTGTGCCCTTCAAGATGTTATACATATGTATGTTGTATATTTGTGTGTGTATGTGTATATATGTCTCATAATTATTATTAGACATTTCTATCAACACATTTTCTAACTATTTATTGTGTAAAAGGTTATTTTTATAGTTCTTCTTTTTCCCCAAATTTTATTTTTCTTGCTTAATACATTGGCTAGGTACTCAAGTATTATATTAATATACTGATAGAAAATATCTCGTTTCAGATTTTAATGAGAATAAGTAATATATCTGCTGATGGTTTTTGATAACCAGCCTTTTAATATATAATTTGTTACCTTGGTAAGAATTCTCTAATGTTTTATAAATTTGTGACTTCTTCAGGTTTTCCCACATTCATAGTTTTCTGTTCTAGAACCAATCGTGTAATGTGCAAGGAGGTGTTAATTCCTTCCAAAAGCGTTCCCATATTCACAATATTCTTAGAGCTTCTAATGAGTATGAATTCTCTGGTGTCTAACTAGATGTGACTTTTGGCTGAAAGCCTTGCCACACTCATTACAGTGATAGGGCTTCTCACCAGTATGTTTTCTCATATGAAGAGTAAGAGATGAGATTTGAGAGAAGGCTTTTCCACATTTACTACAGTCAAAGGGTTTCTCACCTGTATGACCACGTATATGTATAGTAAGGGATGAGCTTTGAGAAAAGGCTTTTCCACATTTATTACATTCATAGGGTTTCTCACCTGTGTGACCTCTCATGTGCACAATAAGGGAAGTTCTTTGAGAGAAAGCTTTTCCACATTCATTACATACATAGGGCTTCTCACCTGTATGACTTCTCATATGTAAATTAAGCAATGAACACTGGGAGAATGCTTTCCCACATTTATCACATTCATAAGGCTTTTCCCCTGTGTGACTTCTCAAATGAAGGGTAAGGGATGCAATTTGTGAGAAGGCTTTCCCACATTCATTACAATCATAAGGTTTCTCTCCAGTATGAACTTTCTGATGTGTAATAAAGTTTTGCTTTTGACTGAAGGCTTTACCACATTCATTGCATTCAAAGGGTTTCTCTCCAGAATGAATTTTTTCATGAGCAATGAGATTTGATTTCTGGCTAAAGGCTTTCCCACATTCCTTACATACATAGGGTTTTTCTCCAGTATGAATTCTCTGGTGTCGAACAAGATTTGACATCTGAATGAAAGCTTTCCCACATTCATTACATTCATAAGGTTTCTCTCTAGTATGAATTTTCTGGTGTGTAATGAAATTTTTCTTGTGGCTGAAGGCTTTTCTACATTCCTTACATTCATAGGGTTTTTCACCAGTGTGACTTCTCATATGCACAGTAAGAGCTGAACTTTGAGAGAAGGCTTTCCCACACTCATTACATTCATAGGGTTTCTCACCTGTATGAATTCTAACGTGTATAATAAGCATGGAAAACTGAGAGAAGGCTTTTCCACATTTATCACATTTATAAGGTTTTTCTCCTGTATGACTTCTCATATGAAGAGCAAGGGATGCGATTCGAGGGAAGGCTTTACCACATTCATTACATGCATAAGGTTTCTCCCCAGTATGAACTTTCTGATGTGCAATGAGGCTTTGCTTCTGGCTGAATGCTTTTCCACACTCACAACAATCATAAGGTTTCTCTCCAGTATGAATTTTTTCATGATCAATGAGATTTGACTTCTGGCTGAAGGATTTAGCACACTCCTTACATGTATACGGTTTCTCACCAGTATGAATTCTTTGATGTCTAATGAGGTTTGACATTTTAATGAAAGCTTTCCCACATTCATTACATTCATAAGACTGCTCCCTACTGTGAATTTTATAATGTTTAATGAGTTTTTCCTTGTGACTGAAGGCTTTTCTACAGTTATTACATTCATAGGGCTTCTCTCCAGTATGGATTCGCAGGTGTCTGATGAGGTCCAATGTTTGATTGAAACCTTTTCCACAATGATTACACTTATAGGGGGTTACCACAAAATGGGATGAGTTATTGACATATAATTGCAAAGGTTCATTATATTCACAATGTTCCTTTCTTATAAGGCATTCCATATTATGATAATCAAAATTATGTTCTAAACACTTTTCAAATATGTCATATTCATAGAGACTGTATCTGGAAGAAACAAAATCAGGGTTCAAAGGAAATACATTTGCAAACTTCGTATGACATTCATTGCCTTTATCTTCAGTCAGTGGTTTCTTGAATTTATCTTCAATGTAGCTCAAAAATCTGTCCTGGTTTTCCTGATGTTCATCAGTTTCCCATATTTCTCCTAAAAGAGATTGTAAATAAGTATCACTTGTGAGTTTTTTCCAATTTTGTATATTAAAAAATATGCTATTATTGATTCTTGGTTTAAGGCCTACTCTCTCATTGTTAAATAAATTTCTAGTACATCTTATCTCTTAAGTTTTGAGAAGGAAATTCCAGGAAAGGAAATAGAGTAAGGATAGAGGCAGATATTTATAAATACAAGTAGTTTTGATTACTTTAAACAAGATTCTAAGAGAAGACAAATAATTGTTAGGTTAAAAAAAAGAGAAATTCAGAATGTACAAATAAACTAAAAAGAAATAATGATAGAGATAAAACAAAAAAGAGAAGCTAAAAAAATCATAAGATCATTTTACAGGACTCTATTGAAATACAATTTAATAAACTGAATACCTTTCTAAAAAATGTAAATTACCAAACTGACTCTAGAAGATGCAGAAAACATATCTAGACCAATTTCCACAAAGTAAACAGAAAAATATTAAAAATGGCTGCCTAAAAACAAAAGAAAAAGAAAAAACCCAGAGAGATTTACATGGGAATTCTAACAAAGTTTTAGGAACAACTCCTATGTTGTGCAAAATGTTACAAGTTTTTTCAAAAGGACAGAATTTTCATTTCTCTGTATGTGAAACAAACATAATATTAACACTAAAACCTGAAAAAAAATGACACACTAAAAAAAAAACAATCCACCAATTTCACTTATGAAAACCAATGTAAAAATTCTATGTAAAATATCAAAATGATCTAAAAGGAAAAAAAAGTGTCCCAGAAGCATATTAAATACAAAATATATCACACCTGAGTAGTTTTTTTTTTTTTTAGGAATATGTCTTAATATAGAAAGTGCATTACAGTAAGTAAATATATTATTAGGTAAAAAATGAAAAATCAAGTCATCATATCCACGGATATTAAAAAGACAGTTGGGCACAGTGGCTCATACCTGTAATCCCAGCACTTTGGAAGGCCAAGGTGAGAGGATCACTTGAGTCTAAGAGTTCAAGACCAGCTTGGGTAACATAGTGAGACTCCATCTTGACAATACATTTTTAAAAAATTTTGTTGGGCATAGTGGCACACACCTATAGTTCCAGTTACTTAGGAGGCTGAGGCAGGAGGATTACTTCAGCCCAGGAATTCAAGGTAGCACTGAACAATGATCACACCACTGCACTTCAGCCTCAGTGACAAAGCAAAACCCTGTCTCAAAAATAAATTTAAAAAATAAAAGGATAAAACTCAACATTATTTTCCATTAATTTTTTTAATAAAATAGAAATAGACACAACTTGAGAATAAAGTACAATACAACCCAAACACCAATACTATGCTTAATAGAAAAAAATCTAGAAGCATTCACATTGTCAGGAATAAGAAAAGATGAGTACCATCACCACTATTACTGCAGTACTAGGTAGTGAAATTAAATAAAAGAAATAAATCAGAGGTACAAAAATTTGGAAAAGGTAAAACTAACATTATTTGTTAAAAAATAAAATTGTTTATCTGAAAAATTAAGTTGCCTGAACAATTTTTATAAGTGAAAAATTCACTAAATGTACTATACACAAATTAATATTCATTGTTAATACTTATATGCAAACAGCTACAATATTCCTTGGTATCCAATGAGGATTGGTTCCAGGACTGCCTGTGTATACCAAAATCCACTGCTGTTTAAGTACCTTACATAAAATGATGTAGTATTTTCATATAACCTATGAACATCTTCCCATACACTTTAAATCATCTCTAGGTTGCGTGTAAGACCTAATACAACGTAAATGCTATGTAAATCATTGTTAAGCTATATTTTTATTTTTTGTTCCCCCCAAATTTTTTAATTCACAGTTGCAGAACCCATGTATACAAAAGGCTGACTACATTTAGAAATTAGAATTTTTAAAACTACACTTACAATGGCAACAAAAATATGAAAAATCCACAAAAAAAATTTTAATGTTCAAAAACCATAAGAAAACCTCAAAATGAACACACAGACTTGAAAAAAATGGAAGGGTATTATGGGTTGAATTGTGTGCCCCCCAAAATGACATGTTGAAGTCTTAACTCCCAGTACCTCAGAATGTGGCCTTAATATTTAGAAATAGGATCATTTAAAATGTAATTAGTTAAGATGAGGTCAGACTGGAATAGGGTAAGCCCCTAATCCAATAGGACTCGTTTTATTGTTTTTTTAGTTGAAGTCTCACTCTGTCGCCCAGGCTGGAGGGCAGTGGCATGCTCACGGCTCCTGCAGCCTCGACCTGCTGGACTCAGGCGATCCTTACACCTCAGTCTTCCAAGTAGCTGAAACTACAGGTGCTGCCATGCCACCACACCCAGCTAATTTTTTTGATTTATTGTAGAGACGAGGTCTCATCAAGTTGCCCAGGCTGGACTCGAACCCCTGGATTCAGGCAATCCTCTTGCCTCAGCCTCCCTGGGGTTACAGGCTTGAGCCACCACACCCTGCCTTGGTTTTCTTATAATAAGAATGCTACATAAAGAGACAGAGACACAGAGAAAATGTCATGTGAAGATGGAGACACAGATTGGAGTTTTGCTGCAACAAACCAAGAAATGTTTGGGACTGCCAGAAGCTTAAAGAGGCAAGGAAGGATCCTTCCCTACAAGTTTCAGAGGGTGTACGGCCCTTTTGACATCTTGATTTTGGATTTATAGTCTCCAGAATTATGTGAATACATTTCTGTCATTCTAAGTCACCCAGTTTTTGTACTTTGTTTTGGCAGCTCTAGGAAACTAAAACAAAAGGCATAATACATTTTGGAAAAGAATATTCAACAGCATAAGAGGACATTCACAAGTTAATCTATCAGTTTTAAATGGTTTCAGTAGAAATGTTTGAAAAAACAAGTAATAGCTCAAAGGAAAATGATACTAGTGGTTGCCATCATAGAGGGGAAATGGGTAGGAGAAGAAGAATTACTTTTAAACATATATCCTTTTTTATTTTACAAAGTCTGTACTAAAAGCATGTGCTATACATTCAAAAAAGAAACAAACAAAATTGTTGTGAACATTGCAGTGAATAAAATGAGAATGACAATGGGAAGGTAAAAACTCGATGAAAGGATTGGAACATAAAACTGCAGAAGACCACCTAGGATGATTGGATAAGGCAAAAAGTATAATGAACAGAGAGAAAAAAAAGGACAGTAAGAAATTGAGATTGAATATGGTATAATAAATATGGAAGTTTATCTCTGATTCCACCCAAAGCTGCTCTAGTCTAAGATAATTTAAAGGAAATAGACCGAGGAGACAACAATGGATGACAGATGTAAACACAATTTTAGCAGATGGAAGAAAATGAAGGACTAATACCTGATAAAAGAATTGCATAAGCTGAAGCCCAAGTGCCTGCAAAGGAAGATGTCTAAAAGCAAAATCCAGTTCCTCCTATATAACTAAAGAAAAGCTCAGGAATTAGAGAAATTATATACCATGAAAAGTAGGATGAATAGAGGACCTAAAAAAAGAGAGAGGTGATTAAAAGTCTACATGGCAAACAATTGCTTGCATTGTACAATGAAGTGCCTATCACTTTTCTACTCTAGATATGGGAGACTCATCTCTGGTTCTGTTAAAATAGAACCAGAGAGGCTTTAGAGTCAGGAACACCAGGCAAAGGAATGTAGGGAAAATAAACTGCATCAAACTGGGTGAATAAGTGTAAGTCTACATACTGAAGAGTAAGACATTCAGTCCCCTGCCTCTGCTGACCTCCAATGGGAAAATGGAGATTTTTCCCCTTCTCTGTAGGCTGAGAATGAAGCGACATAAAAATTCCTGTGAAGCTGTCCTGTAAGTAAGTAAAGTTAGAGATGTGATTGTAGGTTATAGACATAGAAAATAAGGTAGAATACTAATCTCTAGGTCACCTCAGTTACAGGAAAAAAGGGAAAGCACAATTAGGCAAAAGATGTTGAGGGAAAAGGTAAGATCAGTAGAAGTAGAATAAATTTCAAGGCCAAGGCCAAAATATCAACTGTGACAGAAAAGACTCAAGTTTTTAAGACAGTGGAATTAAAAAAACAAAGTCGCTGACATCTTTTCCTCTCTACAAATAAGAGAAATGAAAAGTCATTGATTCTTTGATAGTCCAAGGAGGTAGCTGTAACTCCAGTGATATTAAATGAGGGAGTGTTGACAAATGCAGTGAAGACTGGAACTGGAGAAGAAGAATTCCATCAAAAGACACTGTTCATGCTGACCTTGAGATGAGCAAGCAGTTAACAGCATCAAAAATAGCTATCATACCTTGAAGGTCAGAATTAATTAACCAATGCTAAAAGCATTGGCATTTGGGATTGTAGACTAGTTACAGAATATGTCAGAGAAGCCAGAACTGAACAAGGAAACACTCTGACATACTAGTTTTTTAGAAAGAAGCTTGTTGAGGTAAGGGAGTTAGATTTGGAGTTCTGTAATCTTACAGATGATATAAGATTCCAATGTGCAGCTGCAGTACCCTTTTTTGGATGAGAAGAAATAAAATCTAAGCATACCTATACATGCACACCATAAAGTATAAAGGGCTCCATAGAAGTCGCAGTGCATTTCTATACATCAAGGGCTGGCAAACTTTAGTGTTAAATAGTAAACATTTTAGACTTTGCAGGCCATACGGTCCTTGTTTCAACTACTCAACTTTACAATTGTAATATGAAAGCAATTAGAGACAAGATGTAAATTATTGGGTGTTGCTATATTCCAATAAAACTTTACAAAAAACAAGTCGCTAGCCTGCAGGGCATAGGTTGCTGACTTCTATTCTAGACTATGGTACTTCGTTTCCCACCCCCAAACTTATCATTCTTAAAATAGCAAGTCAAAGAAAAACTATACTCAGTAAAAAATAGAAAAAATAGGAGTTGGAATCAGACCTGTAAAAAACTAGGCTGGGTGGGGTGGCTCAAGCCTATAATCCCAGCACTTTGAGAGGCTTGTTTGAGCCCTAGAGTTAGAGACTAGCCTAGGCAACACAATGAAACCTCATCTCTGCAAAAAGTAAAAAAAATTAGCCAGGTATGGTGGCACACACCTGTAGCCCCAGCTACTCAGAAGACTGAGGCAGAAGGATGGGTTGAGCCCAGGAGGTCAAGGCTGTGGTGAGCCGTGATTGTGCCACTGCACTCCAGCCTGGGCAACAGAGTGAGACTCCAATTTATAAAAAAGATTAGAGGAGAAAAAGAGACAAGAAATAAAGAAAGCAGACATTCAACCTAAGAAATCTGATTGAGAAAAAAAAAAAAAAAGCAGACAAGAGTACAAGCTAGAAAACATTCTCACATATAGACGAGAATCTTGACCAAATGTATTGCCATGAATATAAAAAAGGTTAATAAAAATAGCATCTATAAATCGAGAGTTCAAAATAGTAACACAGGCATACCCCAGAGATATTGTGAGTTCAATTCAACACCACCAACATAAAGCAAATCACACAAATTTTTTGATTTCTCAGTGCATATAAAAGTTGTTTACACTATACTGTAGTCTATTAAATGTGCAATTGTATATCTAAAAAATGTTGTATATAAGTAAAAATACTTTATTGCTAAAAAATGATCTAATGATCATCTGAGCCTTCAATGAGTCATAACCTTTTTGCTAGTAGAGAGTCTTACCTCAACGTTGTTGGCTACTGACTGATCAGGGTGGTGGCTACTGAAGGCTGAGGTAGCTGTGGCAATTTCTTAAAATAAGACAACAATGAAATTTGTCACATCAATTGACTCTTCCTTTCACAAAAGGTTTCTCTGTAGCATGTGATGCTATTTGATAACACTTCAATCACAGAAGAACTTCTTATAAAATTGGAGTCAAGTCTCTCAAATCATACTATTGTTATCAACTGCATTTATCGAATATTCTAAATAATTTGCTGTCATTCCCACGATGTTCACAGCATCTTCACCAGAAGTAGATTCTATCTCAAGAAACAATCTTCTTTGTTCATCCTTAAGAAGTAATTATTCATCCATTAAATTTGATCATGAGATTGCAGCAATTTAGTCACATCTTCAAGTTCCAATTCTAATTCTACTTCTCTCACTACTTCCGGGTCTACAGTTACTTCCTCCACTGAAGTCTTGAATCCCTCAAATTCATCCATAAGGACTAGAATCAACTTCTTTCAAGCTCCTGTTAATGTTGATAATTTGATCTTTTCCCATGAATGATGAATGTTCATAATGGCATCTAGAATGATGAATCCCTTCAAGAAAGTTTTCAGTTTACATTGCCCAGATTCATCAGAGAAATAATTATCTATGGCAGTTATAGCCTTACAAAATACTTCATAAATAATAAGACCTGAAAGTCAAAATTACTCCTTAATCCATAAGCTGCAAAATGGATGTTGTATTAGCAAGCATGAAAACAACATTAATCTCTTGCACATGTCCATCAGAGTTTTTAGGTGACCAGGTGCATTGTCAATGAGCAGTAATATTTTAAAAAGAATATTTTTTCTTTCTGAGCAGTAGGTCTCAACAAGGAGCTTAAAATATTCAGTAAACCATGGCTATAAACACATGTGCTGTCATCCAGGCTTTCTTATCCCATTTATAGAGCACAAGCAGAGTATATTTAACATAATTATTAAGGTCCCTAGAATTTTTTTTTAAGTCGGAGTCTCACTGTCATCCAGGCTGGAGTGCAGTGGCATGCTCACACCCACTGCAGCCTTGACCTGCTGAGCTCAGGTGATTCTTCCACCTCAGTCTTCCAAGTAGCTGGAACTACAGGCAAGTGCCATCATGCCCAGATAGGTCCCTAGGATTTTCAGAATGGTAAATGAGCATTGGCTCCAATTTAAAGTCACCAGCTGCATTAGTCCTAAGAAGAAAGTTGGTCAGTCCTTTGAAGCAGTGAAGCCCAGCATTGACTTCTCCTCTCTAGCTATGGATGTCCTAGATGGGACCTTTTCCCAACAGAAGGCTGTTTTGTCTGCATTAAAAATATGTTGTTTAGTGTACACCTTCATCAGTGATCTTAGCTAGATCTTCTGGGTCACTTGCTGCAGCTTCTCCATCTTCACATTGTACTTTTATATATGGAGATGGCTTCTTCCCTTAAACCTCAAGAACCAACCAGCCCTCTGCTAACTTCAGACTTTTCGTCTGCAGCTTCCTCACCTCTTAGTCTTCATAGAACCGAAGAAAAGTTAGGGCCTTGCTCTGGATTAGGCTTTAGCTTAAGGGAATGTTGTGGCTGGTTTGATCTTCCATCCACCAAACTTTCTCCATATCTGCAATAAAGCTAGTTTATTTTCTTTTTTTTTTTTTTTTTTTGAGTTGGAGTCTCACTCTGTCGTCCAGACTAGAGTGCAGTGGCCGCTCCCGGCCACCGCAGCCTCGGCCTGGTGGGCTCCAGCAATCCTTCCGCCTCAGCCTTCCGAGTAGCCGGAATTACAGGCATGCGCCACCACACCCAGCTGATTTTTTGATTTATTGTAAAGATGAGGTTTCACTGCCCAGGCGGGTCTCGAACCCGCGGGCTCAGGCAATTCACTCACCTCAGCCTCCCAAAGGCACGGGATTACAGGCTGAGCCACCGAGCCCGGCTTAGTTTATTTTCTTATCATTAGTATATCCATTACAGTATTGTTTTTAAATTTTTCTCCAAGATCTTCTCCTCTGCCTTCACAACCTGGCTAAGTGGCACAAATAGCCTACCTTTTGACTTATCTTATTTTTCAACATGCCTTCCTCACTAAGTTTATTCATGTTAAGTTCTGATTTAAAGTGATATATGTACTTTCACAGTCATGGTTTAGTTATTAATTGCCCTCATTTCTTTCTCTCTCTCTCTCTCTCTCTGTGTGTGTGTGTGTGTGTGTGTGTGTGTGTGTGTCTCAGGGAACAGGGAGACCTCAGGAGAGGGAGAGGGATAGACACAGTGGAACGTCTGGCAATGGAGCAGTCAGAACACACACATTTACCTACTAAGTTTGTTGTCTTATGTGGGTGCAGTTTGTAGTATCCCAAAACAATTGCAATAGTTACATCAAAGATCACTGATCACAGATCCCCATGATAAATATAATAATAATGAAAAAGTGTAAAATGCTGTGAGAATTATCAAAATGTGACACAGACATTCAAAGTGAGTACACGCGTTAGAAAAATAGTGTCAACAGACTTGTTTAGTGCAGAGTTGTCCAAACCTTCCACTTGTAAAAAATGTAGTATCTGCAAAGCACAATAAGGCAATGCACAATAAAACAAGGTATGCCTGTATAAATGCATGAGTAAGAAACAATGAGAAACAGAAAGGGATAAAAAGTTTATAAGCAGAACAAAGAAAATAATTGAAAAAGAAAAATAAACCCACCAATGAAATAAAGGACACTATGCAAGAGGCAAAAAAAAAAAATAGGACTTCCATTAATGGAATGATGGTGCAGCAATCTCACATTGCAAAACAACAAGATAATGGAAAAAAATAGATATTCTGAAGCATCACTGGGTTTATAGGATGTAGCATAAATCTTCAAGAACACCTCTCTTCCCACCTGTCTCACACAAAAAATGAATATAACAGAAACAAACAACTGTTCGCTAAAATAAGGAAAACTATGAGCAATTTCATATCAAAAAATTTGAAAATACAGATAAAACAAATTATAAAACATAACAGATGACCCTGGAACATCTGCATATAGTAAATTTTTACAGCTACAGAGGAAATTTAACTACTTAAGAAATTACTTGGTCAACCATGTGAAAATCAATTTGGAAACTGGAATTAAGTGAATAATTTCCTGAAAAAATACAACCTATAATTAAAAACCAATTTCAAAAAGAAAGCAAAATATCTACATAGGACAGTTATACAAGGAATAAAAAAAAGAATTGTCAAGAAATTTGGTAATATCTACCAAATTTTTAGGGGAATTATAACACCTGTGCTATATTAGTGTTTAGAAACATGAAAGAAAGCGTCCACATTCTATTTATGAAACCAAGTATAACACTGACATCAAAAACTTTAAAAGTTGAAACATTTAAATTCATAGCAAACATAACAGGATGAGCCATTATTAAGAAATATATAAACATAATATAGCAGAAAATGGGAGCTAACAAAAAATCAGCACTGACTTAAAACTTTTATTAAGGTAAAAGGGTGGTAGTGATTACTGAAGTAAAAGAGCAAAAGCTAAAAACACAGTGGAAAGTGCAATTATGGTTATAAAATATGAGGATAAGGCATTTAGAATGGAAAAAAGAAGAGAAAGTGGAAAGTAAAAGATTATAAATGTCAATAGGTTTATTTGAACGACTGCAAATCATGAATGTCTGTTTACAACAGGAAAGAATCTTATAAATAAACGTAGGCAGAGAGACTGAAGATGCTAATAATAAAATAATTATGAAAGTAGGGTTGGAAACTAGGAAATGTTGGTACTTAACACACAAGTAAGAACTCTAAGTTCTGAGTAAAGAAGTTAAGAATGGTATCTAGAAATGACATCTTAGGTTTATAAAGAATTCAGACCACCTGTCACTACAAAAGTCTACAGGTTTTAGGAAAATATCTCTGAAGAATACTATAGAGGGATCAAACACTCATTGTTTAATCATTAATAGGGTCCTGACAAGCCCCCTTCCCACCTATCTGGTTCCTACCCACTAACCTGGACAGTGTCTCCTCAATACTTCTTCCTCTACCACCCATGGTTCTTCTTCTTGTTCCAACTTGAAAATCACTTCAGGTTTGGTGAGTGGATAGCCTGTCAAAGGGAAGTGATACACATTTGGGCATATACACTAGGAAAAAAATACCACCCAATAACTGAGGCTGGGCCAGGGAAACAAGGCTTTAGAAAGGCCAAGAAAATATGGCTTCTGGGGATGCTGCCCCCTGAAACATAACCAAGGATGACCTTTTGCTCTGAAAGCTGCATCATGGAAACATACACAAGTAAAGGCATCTCAAGGCCAAATCCACTCTAACATTTAAAAGTCCCACACATTTCAGAAACACTGGTGGAGAGAGAACAGTAATTTATTTCCAGAACTTAAATTACATAGTAAATTACTCTTACCCACTGTGATAAGGTTGTTATAGTTTTCTAGCATCACGTTCCGATACAGGTTCCTCTGAGCAGGATCCAATTGCTTCCACTCCTCCTGGGTGAAGTCAATTGCCACATCTTTGAATGTCACTGTTTCCTGCAACAATACTTCTCAATCTGAAGCCATTCATCTTAGGTGACATAAACAAAAAATATTGAATCTTGTTCTGATATTAATCAAAGGTATAAAAAGTTTTCCTAGTTCTAATATTAAAAAAAAAAAAACACACCATCATATTAGCAACATTCTGTCAGTGTATGTTCATTCACTGATTGAGCAAGCACATATCTTTACTAACTACCATGGGTTAAAGAGATCTTGGTCACCAGTTTATATGGAGAGTAAAAGAAATAGAAAAATAAGGCAGGGCACAGTGGCTCATGCCTGCAATCCCAGCACTTTTAGGGGCCAAGGAGAGGGGATTGCTTGAGCCCAGGAGTTTCAGACCAGCCTGGGCAACACTTGAGACATTGTCTTGACAAAAAGTCAAAAAAATGAGCCTGGGTGATGGCACATTTCTGTAGTCCTGCTACTTGGGAAGGTGAGAAGGGTGGATCACTTCAGCCTAAGAGTTCAAGACTGCAGTGAGCCGTGATGCTACCACTGCACTCTAGTCTGAGCGACAGAGGGAGACCCCCAACTGAAAAAAGAAGAAGAAATGGAAAATAAAACTTTACTCAAGTTAATTGATTTGTAACCTCACAAGATACCAAAAGCAGAAAGAAAAATGGGAGCAGGATTTGGACAGAAGCAGAAACAGGAAAAGAATGATAGGTGAAATTTGAGAAACAAGACATCCAGTTGAAGACATCCATTGTTTTAGCAGTTGGAAATATTGCTCATGAGCTCAAAAGAGATTACACTGAAAATGAAGACTTATTGGTCATTAACCTATAGTATGTTCTGCAGCCATGAAAATGGAATCTGATTGCTCAAAAAGCTTACATATATCAAAAAAAGAGAATCCTACAGATAACAACAAAAAAAGGAAAGATGCCCTGATAAAGATTTATTTTTTAGTGGCCTAAACTAGAATTATAACTGAAACTGCTTATGAAGAAAGCTATTTCATTTCAGAAATGAGAAACTGGTGAAAATTTTCTTGAAAGCAATATGATTTGAATACAGAAATCTAATACACCCTTCCTAGTTCAAAATCGAAATGCCCAAAACAACACAAACTAAAGAAAAAAAAAAAACTTCAACAGCACTGGAAAAAAGGAACAATTCATATTTCCTACATTTTGAGGAATTTTTTCCAGAGATAGAATGAGATAAATGGAAGTCTCCAATGGCTAATTCACAATTAGTGTCTAAAAATTTATATATCCTAAAAGGATCCTATGAAAATGAACATCCACTAACACTAAGGATTCAGAGAAAGTAATGAGACCAATGAAAAATTATCTCCTGGAACCCCTTCCTGCTGAAGATCATTGCATTTGAAATAAACATATTCAAGAAGCCAAAGGCAAAATGTCAGGAAATTTAAAAATCTTGAAATCCAGAGGTTTTAAGATTTCCCCTCACCTGGAAGAAAGGTCAAAATAAGTCTGTATAAAGCACTTGATGAGAAAGTATGGATGAGGAGAAAACATGATTTGGAAAGCTGGCTTTAGTATAAAGCTTTCACCCATCACAGTGAAGGACATAAGTACATAAAATTCACTCTTGCTGGAACTACCTCAGTCTAGAATTTTCTTCAGAAAGTTATATTTTCCTCAGAAAGTCTGATCATTAAATTAGTAAATATTTTTAAAACACAACATCAAAGATGTTGCAAGAAATTCCTAATTGCACCCAGCTCGAGAGTAAGAGAATCCAAAAAGAGATCATGAAAATAAATTTGAGGAAAATACTTAAGAAAAATAATTGAATAAAAGCGAAAATAGAAATAATCTTAAAATGAGAAATTTAGAACTTATATGCATAAATCTCCATATTTAAAAGTTGCTATTTTAAGAATAATGATTAAGCAAATGTTTAATAAGTTTAATGAAAAAATAAACACCCAAAATTAGAAAAAAGTACTCAAATTAATTAACATTTAAAGAGGTAGGTATCTATAGAAATTTTTTAAACTGTATTGAAATGAATAATTTTAAAGGAAACATAAAACATTGATCTAAAAAAAATAAAAAGAGGCTATCCCAGTGTAATACTGTAGCACATACTGTTATTCTTCAATATCTATTCTCCTTATCTTTCCAGTTTTAGGCCAGGAACACAGCCTGCTGAAACAGATACATTTATATGACAAAGTTCTAGACAGTAAGATGAAAATATTACATGCAACTACTGGTAAGTGAGTTTAAAGGGACAAGGTATACTATTTCTCTTTGGTTTCCTCCTTTCCATATGTAAATGTGATGGCTAGAGTGAATATAACTATTTGGGGTAATGAGAAAGAGCCAATTATTGAGAATGGCAGAGCAATGAAATGAGAGTCTGATTCTCTGACCCTTTGAACTTTAAACATAAGAGAAAAATAAACATCTTTCCTGTTAAGCAAATGTTATCTGGGCATTCCATCACAGTCAACTGTAATACTAACAAATAAAAATGTTCAGGCCAGGCATAGTGGTTCACTCCTGTAATCCCAGCATTTTGTGAGGGAGAGACAAAAGGACTGCCTGAGTCCAGGATTTGAGACCAACCTGGGCAACATGGCAAGACCTCATCTCTACAATAAATCAAAAAAAAAAAAAAAATTTAGCTAGGCATGGTGGCATGTGCCTATAGCTCCAGCTACTTGGAAGACTAAGGTGGAAGAATCACCTGAGCTCAGCAGGTCAAGGCTATGGGGGCCGTGAGCATTTCACTATACTCCAGTTCAAGCAGAGTGAGACTCTGACTCAAAAAAATAAAATGTTCATGCCAAAAAGAGTATTTCAAAGTACTACCTTTTTGGCAGCTACAAAGATATGCTGCACAAATCCCCTTCAAGAGAAGAGGCTGTAAGAAGTATAGCTGGCAAACAGCCTCTAGCTACTCCATTTATGATTCTACTACTGAGTTCATGCTGAAGTCATGCTACCCCAACACTGCTCAAAGACTGAGCGTAGTGAGGGGATTAAAGCCTAGATTATTTCTACTTAACATAGTTTTCCTCTAACAGGAAAGCTTTGGTCAGCAATTCCTTATTAGTCTTGCAGAGACTTTCTCACAACTGTACAATAATCTGAGATAGTAGCAAAAAGAATTAGTAAACTTGAAAATAATTTCTATTATGCAATTTGAAGAAAAGAAAGAAAAAAGCATGAAGAAAAATGAATACAGACTGGGCACAGTAGATTATGCTATAATCTCAGTGCTTTGGGAGACCACGGTGGGAAGATCACTTGAGGTCAGGAGCTCAAGACCAGCCTGGGCAACATAGTGAAACATAACCACTACAAAAATTTAAAAAATTAGTTAGGCATAGTGGCACATGCCTGTAGTCCTAGCTACTCAGGAGGCTGCGGCAGGAGGATCACTTGAGCCTACGAGTTTGAGGTTACAGTGAGGTATGATCATGCCACTGCACTCCAACCTGAGTAACAGAGTAAGAAAAAAATGAATTTAGAATCAGAGAAATGTGAGACAGCAGTAAGTGCATTAATGTATGCATGAAACAGAAAGTAAGAAGAAAGGGAAGACAAAAAATTTCAAAGAAATGGCTAAAAACTTTCTAAATGTGTTGAAAGACACTAACATACATATCCAAGAAGCTCAGTGAACTCCAAATTGGATAAATGCAACAAGGTACACACCTAGACACATCATAGTCAAAATGCTGAAAGTAAAAATAAGGAGGAAATCTTGAAAGCAGCAAAAGAAAATAATTCATTATATTCAAGGCACCCACAATAAAACAGCTGACTTCTCGTCAGAAAAAATAAATGACAAATTGCACTGGGACAACATAGTCAAAATGCTGAAAGAAAAACAAATTATCAACAAAGAATACTATATTTAGAAAGTTATCTTTCAAAGATGAAGGTACTTATGCTAGGTAAAAGAAGCCAGACACAAAAAGTCACATATTTTATTATTCTATTTATATGAAAGATTTAGAATAGATAATATACCCAGAATTGGTGAATCCACAGAGACAGAATGCAGATTGGTGATTGCCAGGGAGTAGGAAGAGAAAAGAAATGGGCAAATAAATGCTTAATGGGTATGGGTTTTTATTCTGGGGTGACAGAAACATTATGGAACTGGATAGCAGTAGTGGCTACGTAACATTGTGAATGTACTACAGGCCACTGAATTGTTCACTTTAAATGATTAATTTTACATCATGTGAATTCCATTTTAAAAAAAGAAGGTGAGATATATTCCTAGATAAATTAAAGCAATTCACAGAAAAACACAAACACTGAATTCAATGCTAGCAGACTGACCTCATAAGAAATACAAAAAGTTATTCAGGCTGAAAGCAAGTAACATAAAACATTAATTAAAATCCACATGAAAAAATGAAAAGCTCCAATAAAGCAATAAGCAGAATGCAGAGCACAAAGTAAGCGCCATAATTTCATTTTCTTAGGCACTCTACTTTACTTGCAAATGAAGACTTAATATGGAAACAAAAAAACAGATGCAATATTCTTCCCCTGTGGACTAATTCTATTCTGGATGGATGCACGTTGTCACCAAGAATATCTCAAGATCTTCCATGCTCTTAGTTTATACTACCCTGCGTCTCTAATCAACACAAACTCCAAACATGTGTCAGCAGTGTACTAGTTTAAAAATACTTTTATATGTAAGTTTACTTATGCCTCACACTTTTTTTGTATTTTAGCTTTATTAAAAAAGAAAAGACAGAGAAGAAGATAAAAGGGGAAAACCCTCTCCTTTTTCTTAGAGGCCTGAAATAGAGAAAAAAGGCCAGAAAGGTAGGGAGATTAGCAGTTAAATGTGTACTCAGAACTCCCCACCCTCCAGGTATTAGTGTGGAGCCGGAGAGAGGCAGTGAACTCACTATTAAGAGGAAAAAGTGTCATGATCAAGTTAGAAGGACTTCTAAGTAGTCTTTAGCTCCCATGTAGCATAGATCCTGAGTAAGAAGAGGTAGAGCCCTTTCAGAAGGCAAGATGATTCCATAT